AGATGTGCAGCTGTATAACTCGACATAATGTGAGGTCATTCAGGCATTCATTCATTCATGGACCAACAACACGCCTCTAACATGCAAAATCCCATGGTTACAGAGAGCCAACACAAATCAACGAATATTCAATCTACATTATGTACAACAGGTCAATTGTATGATATACAAACGACATCATCACAATCACAAATAACACGAATAGAAGAAGGCAAGGATATAATCTGGTACCTAATTGCTGTAATCAACGTTTTGTCTGGGATCGAGAAACACAGCGTGAAGAGAATTTGGTTGAGTACGCCGACAATCAAGCCTGTTGTCGAACACGAAGCTGAGCACGTGCTTACTGAATGTGGTGTTCAATAGACGTGCCAGGACAAGATACAGGGAAAGAAACATCTGAGCATTCCATGAGAAATGGTGGGACGGTGATTTTGAAAAGTGACTCAATACATATTCTGTTACTCACTCTGATAACACCACACTTCAGACAGAGTGGTACGGAATTCGATAAGACATTGGAATCAGCTGTTACTTACGTGGATTCAACACTGAGACGATTTCTCTTCCTCACACACGTGAACAAAGGAGTTCAGCGTGTGTCACTAATGACTGAAATCAGCATCGTTTGATACGATACACTTTGTGTTATTCATTCTCGATACTTCAATCACAGTTGAGTCACGCAATACTTCATCTGATTTCAGTGGATTTCTTTTCTGCTCATCATCATCACGTTGGTAGGTGTCAGTAGTAGCGAAATGTATCCGATCGATTCCGTCAACGGATCATCTTAATAGACAATCATGCATGCATGTGTTGAATGAGTGTAAGAAGAAAAGAAAGAGAGTGAGTGATGATGATCCACGGTGTTTTGAACGCAGTTTACATGAGAGTGCACTTCATCTCTCTAGAAGCATCCATGATGATACTAGCGACAGCAGCTACTACCATATTGAAGCATTCGCAGCGATAACTACTGAGACTCAGGAAATAAATGAAGATGAAGAGTGACGCATTCTTCATTAAACTTATTTCAGAGATGTGGATACTGGTTTGTTACTAGTTTCGCCTTCACAAATATGGATTGAGTCATTTACTGATTGATTGATTGATTGATTGATTGGTTCATGAAGTTGACATGCATAACCTACCCCATTTCTGTCAACAAAGCATTAGAACAAGTTATAAATTTGTAAGATGACTGCTGATAATAATAAATAGAATGAATGGGATGGTAGGAATGGAATACTCATTCCAATCCATGTGACATAATAATGACACAAACTGGAAGCGAGAGACGCCTCTCCACGATGCCGTTAGCCTGCCGTCGCCGACGATATTCAAGGGGTGTAACTCAGTAATAACTGTGTTGCATACCCCACTTAAGTGTACACCAGATCATGTCACATGCAGCGAGTAGTGAAAGTGGAGCTGTCATGTTATTAATGCATTCTTTATTCCTTATCACCTGATTACACACAGGTTCGCGAAATCTCACGAGTTCCGTTCTTTCTATGGCCCCCTCCCCTGAAGACAACTACACATTTCCACGTCATCAAGTTCACCAACATCTCGTGCTATTCATGACCGCATAGGAAGCAGAAAACAAAACCTAAACTCTCCTCATTTCACGTCGTCCTAAACTCACTTGAGGAAGCGGCATGCGACACCACCTGACTGCCTTCAACTCGTCATCAAGTTTCAAGCAGTTTCCATAATCAGATACTGTCGGCTAAGGCACCACTGAGAACTACTCGCTACTGTGCAGCATCGTGCTACAACTGTAGTACTGGTCTGCAGTGAACATCATCGAGGGAGTAACCGAAGGTTATCACTGTTGAATGGGAGAATGTTAGGAAAAACCACTTGCTTGATACTCATTAGTTTTCAGAGGCGTGTCTTCCAATACTCTTCTGCTCATTGTTAATTCTACATGTGGTGTAAACTAACTCATAGCATGCAGACTCGAACAAGCCTTGTGTGAGTAAAACAATGGCTGAAGCAAGCGTGCTGGTGGTATGCGACTGGATAGTGTAGAAATCTGAAGACAGTGTGAAGACTCACTAAGCTATCCCTTGCCTATCATAGGTGGGATGCAATTTCGTGTCTCAACCAACTTAACTAGAACTTAGTGGAATACGGTCCCCATGTGAAATCACTGCTGACCTGACACTGGCTACACGCAGAACAAATTTGGTAACATTGTTGTCTGAGATGGAATTACAGTTAGTCATGTGTATTGTAGTGGTCACTGTTTATTCTAGTGAGTGAAGGCTATGAATCATCACTTATCATTCCTACATCACAGCATTTCCTCAACACGTAAACGCGCGCACACGCACATACACAACGAGACCAAATTTCTATCCATATCACTGGAAACATTCACCTGATCAGTTGAATCCTCGACATTGGTTTCCGAGTGACATTATGTGAACGACTTCCAGTCGATATTCTCTAGCCAATCAACATCACACACGAAGCGTCTGCTTTGAATCCACTCACTAACCATACTTTCGTCTCTAATTTAGTCACTAACTGATCACATCATTGTGTGATTGTTTTATGTTGATAAATCCAGAACCAGTGGTCACTCTAAACACAACACTAATCAATATCGATGAAGTCTCATTCTGATATGCCTAAAATTCGATCTTGGATTTCAGGATAACATTTTCAACATTTTCCATATGAAATGTTTTACCTGGTGTATGCAGGTTTTTATACAGAAGACAGATCGACAAGGACTTACCATCAAGGACTTAGCCTTTAATAAACTATTATCTCACTTGTCTACATAGTAGTATGCATTTCTATCTGTTGCAGATATTTTGAACACATTCTTCTCTCCAGTACTTCATTCCTTCTCCACTGACATACCTCTAACTTTCACCAACATCACACTATCTGTGATCACTCTCCCTTGTCGTGCAGTTGCTAACTGTTTCAACTAACTCAAAACCACTTCTGTTCAAGGTTCTGTCTCAACATATCTATACGTTAAGTGTGAGCAATCAGGTTTGACTGATAGTTGACCAACATACTTTCGTATGAATACTGAAGTGGAACAACTCAAACCCTAATTCTAATTCGCTAGGTTGAACCCATCAGTTTGCATACAATCATCAATGAATGCATTCACTTTCTGTGATTCGCATCCCCATTCAGTTACTATAAATGTCCGTATGTACACCACGGTTATTTTGCACCGAGTAGAATCACCCTGTATTTAGAGCGAAATAATTTAGGCTCTCGTGTGTGTAGCATTTTTAATGACATAGTTAACACAAAATGCAATAAAACAAAACATGTTTACGGACCAGATCGAGAGTTGTACTTGCTGTGTGAGTACTTATGTCACCAACCTGATGCTTGGAATATAATTTAACGACTGAAAAACCTCTTCTTATGCATATCAACCACATCTTCACGAATATGTTTGCTTGTTAAACTCGAGCAATTTTGCTAAAGGCATTGTTAGATTTGACGGTAAGCTCACTGATGAATTAGATGAAATAATAACCCGCAAATGTAGTACGTGGATAATTCTAATCTAGCTGATTACCTACTGTCAGAAGTCGAATGCCATAATGGTAAGTGGATTAGATATTGATTATCAGAAGATTGGAAGTAGTGCTAATATCTTGACGGAGTGAATAGAGCAAAAGATGATGAACACCAGTATGTCAGTGATCTAAAATGGATTTCTGTAGGTCTCTCAAACACCACATAATAAATTCCTATATCAATCTGACGAACATCAGATCCTAGTATGCTGAACAACACTGAGCGAGTTGAACAGTTTGAGTTCAACGAGCAAACATGCAAGTGAAGATGAAGTTGATTAGATTAAGGGGGGAATATTTAGTCACCGAATCATTACGTTTTAAGTCTTTCGTGACCTCATTTTTGTTCTCAGGATAAATCTTGATTTAATCAAATTTTAGTTCGATGTGAAAAAGTAGCAGTAGTATTTTGTTATGGTGATGCACTTCAAATGGACAGAAGTTCAGGAGATTTTGGCCATTCATAACTAATCAGGGAATGTTTCCACTGGCAATGAGACGCATGTGAATTTTGAGATATGATATTTTGTTACTTCACGTCGAAAGCGAGGGAGTTTCGACTGAAGCATGAGCTGTAGAGTGTACCAGAGGATTCTTCCACAGATACAGAGAAATCCAAATTTCAAATACCTACGATAGCAAGAATGCACGTTGAACTCTGGACCAGGGTTCAATAAATAATCGTCATGTTCCTTTCAGCAGCAATTTCAAGTCAACGTTCATGCAGTCAACCTCATGCAAGGCATCCACCAATGCAGTCCAGTAATTGGTCAAGAAAAGTACGGAGCAACGCCTACTATGACAAACAATAAATATTCCGAAGCTGGCCAACAAACGCTTCATTTTCACTCTTAGTGAATTAATTGGATTCTACTTCTGTGCATTTTATCCAGTTGTGACTGGTTGCGAAATGTACTTATCGACATACGTGCAAGTGTTGCTTCATACTGACATTTCAACCTACGTTCACCTTGAATAGTCAGCAACCTGATTACCAGAACCAGTTGGTTGTCCTAAATTCATGTGTGATTGTGCTGTTCATTTTATATTTGACCATTTTGACGGGGAATTCTTAGACTTCTTTATTAGCACAAATCACAATAATACTGATAACACATATATGGCATTAAGGATAAGCTGGTACATGCGAAATTCCGGTTCAAAGAAAGACCACGAAGTGGAGATTTACACACTAATAAACAGCTGCATGGTACATCATATCGATGCAGAGACCAGTACTCACTCACTCGCCTAGTAGCAAATTCAATTCTAGATAAACGTTGTCTTAAACACAGTGGTGACATATTGCCAACGGAGTGGATGAACTTGTATAGAGCTGCACTGAAAATAAAGAATATTCTTTGATTTGAATTGTATTCATTTCATACAAAGTATGCAAGTACATGAAGATAACAAGGATACTTCAGAGTACAGCTGGATGAATACGAGGTAATCCAATAGGTAAATATTATAATTCTGATCTATGTTCATTAGGCAGTCATGAGATCTCAGCATGTGATGGCGAGCAGGAGGGTGTAATTTTGTTGTTATTGAGGACTAGTTTCGAGGACTGTACTGCAATTTATCTGCTCAAAGTGAGGAATTCCCCTCTGATTTTATCATCAGTCAGAAACTGGCCCACCATCCTTTGTGTCACTGTTACAGCACTCGGTTTGTGAACACCACGCATAGACATGCACATATGTCTGGCTTCGATTATCACACCGATACCTAAGGGATTCAGTATTTCAACTATCGCGTCAGCTATCTCATTTGTCAGTCTCTCTTGAACTTGGAGTCGTCGTGAATAAACTTCAACAATACGGGCTAGTTTACTTATCCCAATGATACGCTTGTTGGGCAAATAACCAATCGACACGTGACCAGTGAATGGGATCAAATGGTGCTCACATATGGAGAACATTTCAATCTTCTTCACTATGACCATTTCACTGTGACCTTCATCGAATAGTGCATCATTGACGATATATCGCAGATCTTCATGATAGCCTTTAGTGAAGTAAAGCATAGCTTCTGCTACTCTCTCTGGTGTCTTCATCAATCCTTGGCGATTTGGATTTTCACCAAGACAAATCAGAATTTGTCTGTACAATTCTTCAAGTTTGCTCAAGGTGGATTTTGACTTCTCACCGCTTTTGTCCTTTACGGTATCGGCTACCACACTGGTAATTCTTGTCGATACGGCATCATGACTTGTACATGGATTAGAGACAAAGCTGTTATCACCAGTGGTCATTGTACTATCAGCTGCAACTATTGCTTCTCTTCCTGAGGGGAAATCAGGAAACAGATGGCCGTTGAAAGTTTTTGATGTATGCACCGTGTTCTTTGATAGAGGGTGTCTTTGAAGACCACATATCTGCATGAAATTGTCTGCATCCTTCACAAAGTGGATTTCGTCTGTTACATCTACTCGTGGACGATATGAGTTTCCGAATGAGGATGATATTGGACAAGATATCGAATAGTTAGCCTCACTGAAGTCAAAGCAGTCGTAACTTGGAGATAATTTGTGAGGTAGAAACATGATCATATCAAGTCAATTGTGTGATACTGTCTATCTGTTAGTCCTCGTAGATCTGAAATATATTGCTTAATTGTGTTCACACTTCACAGAATCTCAGTGTAATTTGCGTAGTATTTATACTTGTCACATCATAACCATTAACCTATATTCACAGACACATACACCCACATACACGTGCTGCACACTAAATGAAGAAGTAAACAAGTGTGCACTTTGAGCAGGTTGACTTCTAGTCACCACCGATCACCAATCATCTTACTCGCAAGTTTGTGAGTGAGTGACTGAGTGAACAAACTGAGATCAGTTAGTAATCTTAATTGTACCGAGTCACCAAATGGTGAAAGGGGCATCCGATGTTGTGCGGCATGCTTCGGTAGTGATTAAGACAAGGAGAAATGTGTTCAGGTTATCGAAATATGTATGTGGTAATGGTTAGTTGAACTCGGTACGATCTGACAGCCATTTTAAGAGAACATTGATTCATTTTTATAGACTGGAAATTGCATATTTTATTCACTCAGTCCTCATGAGAGTAGGAGCACACCGATCCCTTCATTGTTCAACTGACTCTTTCTACCTGTCGTTACATCCACCGGTTTGCTTTCATATTCATGGACTGAAATATTTTCAGTATTGTCTGTTATTATTTTCTGAGCTGAAATTTCGCTTGGTCAACCTTTTGTTTCCATATCAAATAGCATAGTAGTAGAAATTTAACAGATAATTAGTGGTAGTCGGTTTCACATACTGGTTAACCTTAGTCAAGGAGTATTTCACAGCACACGCAACTACATTTCACATTCGCCATGAGTGTAATTCCATGTAGTCACAAAATAACGTGAGTGGCTGAAAATTGTGAGCAGATAGATTTTGGATGAGATGCGCCGGCTGTACATCCAATGAGTATTAGGCCTGTAAGCATGATCTGTCCTCACTCTCTTCGAAAGGACTTGATAGTAGGCTTCAAGTTATCAGGGTTCAGGTAATGAAACTTTGACTGCTTCAAACTTTCATCCATGAGTCGTCTTGTATCTAACTCACGTTAAAATAAAGTGAATTGGCATGCTTCCTTCTTTAAAGATGGTATTCAAGGCATCTCTTATAAAGTGGCCCTCTGAGTCACTGTAAAATTCGTGACCATGACATGGAAGTAAGGTTTGGAATGATTTCAGGTAATTTTTCTCGGTAAGGAAGGCTTATTTTCTGGATATGTGCACAACCATACAATATGGTATTGCAGATTTTGGTAAGGAATTCCTGAGCGTGTACAATATCTGCTTTTACTTCATGAAGAATCCGGGCATTCTGATGGAACTTTTCATCAAGCTGGCATTATTTAGTTATCGGCCTTGAGTTCAGTAATTGTGTGAAGACTTGATTTCAAAACACTTTTGTCTATTCAAGCGATACTGTTTTGTTGAACCAGCCCAAACATTTTTGTATTGTTAGGTGGCCAGATCAATACATGTCATCAATCTTCGTAGTTACTATCTGTCGGTGTGAGCCATGCAGGAAATCATAGACTGTTCATCGAGATGCGAAAAAATCAGTGTTTGCAAACGCCAGCAGTCGCTACTGAAAACTGATCATCATGGCGCGTTTGTATTCATTCCCACCAATTGCAGACATTTTGAGCATTTTCTTGTCACCGGTAATTCATTCCCTCTCTATGCAAACTCCAAGTTTATTTGATATCCCTCTGCGTGTGCTAATTCCCTTACTATGCATTTGCTTACAGCTACAACTCACGCAAAGACGCTTCTGTCCAAGGTTCTGAGTCGACATATATATATATATATATATATATATATATATATATATATATATATATATATGTCCGATCAATGGGAGAATTCAGGTCCGACCTACAGTTGACTAGCATCCTTTCATATCAATACTGCAGTTATTCAACAAATATCCTATTCGGAAATCAACTGACTGAACCCATCAGAATGTATACAGCCATCAATAAACGCATGCACTTTCTATAATTTACATCTCCATTGCTGTAATTTTTAATATTGACACTACCGGGAATCTATCATAATTACTTTTGCCTCTTTTTTCAGACACAATTTGTGCTGGTGTATGCTTAGCTTTTTTAATACCATAGTTAACTGATGATGCAACTCAACGGTACACATTTACGCACCAAGTAGAGAGACACACTTGTTGTGTGAGTGGTTATGACACTAACCTAATGTCTAGGATAAAGTGAGTGGATGGGGTTGCAATTTCACCACCCAGTGACTAAATATTCCCCCCTTAATCTAATCAACTTCATCTTCACTTGCATGTTTGCTCGTTGAACTCAAACTGTTCAACTCGCTCAGTGTTGTTCAGCATACTAGGATCTGATGTTCGTCAGATTGATATAGGAATTTATTATGTGGTGTTTGAGAGACCTACAGAAATCCATTTTAGATCACTGACATACTGGTGTTCATCATCTTTTGCTCTATTCACTCCGTCAAGATATTAGCACTACTTCCAATCTTCTGATAATCAATATCTAATCCACTTACCATTATGGCATTCGACTTCTGACAGTAGGTAATCAGCTAGATTAGAATTATCCACGTACTACATTTGCGGGTTATTATTTCATCTAATTCATCAGTGAGCTTACCGTCAATCTAACCATAACCTAATCAGGATTACCGGAATAAATATCTGTGAATATTTTCTGTATACTTACATATGTGTTAGACAATAATCCGGAGGATTAATAAAGCATCACATACCAGCTGAATATAATGGAGATGTCACACAATGTGTTTGTCTGCACCTTTAGTTGATTAGCTTTGATTTCGCTTATGGAAGTTTATTGTTGCTGTGTGACGCGTTGTTGTAAAATTATGCAGCTCCACAGTGCTAGATAGTCGGAAAATAACTTCAAAGCACGAAGAATATGTGAAAAATCAAGATGAACTTATACCATCTTTAAAGAAGGAAGCATGCCAATTCACTTTATTTTAACGTGAGTTAGGTACAAGACGACTCATGGATGAAAGTTTGAAGCAGTCAAAGTTTCATTACCTGAACCCCTGATAACTTGAAGCCTACTATCAAGTCCTTTCGAAGAGAGTGAGGACAGATCATGCTTACAGGCCTAATACTCATTGGATGTACAGCCGGCGCATCTCATCCAAAATCTATCTGCTCACAATTTTCAGCCACTCACGTTATTTTGTGACTACATGGAATTACACTCATGGCGAATGTGAAATGTAGTTGCGTGTGCTGTGAAATACTCCTTGACTAAGGTTAACCAGTATGTGAAACCGACTACCACTAATTATCTGTTAAATTTCTACTACTATGCTATTTGATATGGAAACAAAAGGTTGACCAAGCGAAATTTCAGCTCAGAAAATAATAACAGACAATACTGAAAATATTTCAGTCCATGAATATGAAAGCAAACCGGTGGATGTAACGACAGGTAGAAAGAGTCAGTTGAACAATGAAGGGATCGGTGTGCTCCTACTCTCATGAGGACTGAGTGAATAAAATATGCAATTTCCAGTCTATAAAAATGAATCAATGTTCTCTTAAAATGGCTGTCAGATCGTACCGAGTTCAACTAACCATTACCACATACATATTTCGATAACCTGAACACATTTCTCCTTGTCTTAATCACTACCGAAGCATGCCGCACAACATCGGATGCCCCTTTCACCATTTGGTGACTCGGTACAATTAAGATTACTAACTGATCTCAGTTTGTTCACTCAGTCACTCACTCACAAACTTGCGAGTAAGATGATTGGTGATCGGTGGTGACTAGAAGTCAACCTGCTCAAAGTGCACACTTGTTTACTTCTTCATTTAGTGTGCAGCACGTGTATGTGGGTGTATGTGTCTGTGAATATAGGTTAATGGTTATGATGTGACAAGTATAAATACTACGCAAATTACACTGAGATTCTGTGAAGTGTGAACACAATTAAGCAATATATTTCAGATCTACGAGGACTAACAGATAGACAGTATCACACAATTGACTTGATATGATCATGTTTCTACCTCACAAATTATCTCCAAGTTACGACTGCTTTGACTTCAGTGAGGCTAACTATTCGATATCTTGTCCAATATCATCCTCATTCGGAAACTCATATCGTCCACGAGTAGATGTAACAGACGAAATCCACTTTGTGAAGGATGCAGACAATTTCATGCAGATATGTGGTCTTCAAAGACACCCTCTATCAAAGAACACGGTGCATACATCAAAAACTTTCAACGGCCATCTGTTTCCTGATTTCCCCTCAGGAAGAGAAGCAATAGTTGCAGCTGATAGTACAATGACCACTGGTGATAACAGCTTTGTCTCTAATCCATGTACAAGTCATGATGCCGTATCGACAAGAATTACCAGTGTGGTAGCCGATACCGTAAAGGACAAAAGCGGTGAGAAGTCAAAATCCACCTTGAGCAAACTTGAAGAATTGTACAGACAAATTCTGATTTGTCTTGGTGAAAATCCAAATCGCCAAGGATTGATGAAGACACCAGAGAGAGTAGCAGAAGCTATGCTTTACTTCACTAAAGGCTATCATGAAGATCTGCGATATATCGTCAATGATGCACTATTCGATGAAGGTCACAGTGAAATGGTCATAGTGAAGAAGATTGAAATGTTCTCCATATGTGAGCACCATTTGATCCCATTCACTGGTCACGTGTCGATTGGTTATTTGCCCAACAAGCGTATCATTGGGATAAGTAAACTAGCCCGTATTGTTGAAGTTTATTCACGACGACTCCAAGTTCAAGAGAGACTGACAAATGAGATAGCTGACGCGATAGTTGAAATACTGAATCCCTTAGGTATCGGTGTGATAATCGAAGCCAGACATATGTGCATGTCTATGCGTGGTGTTCACAAACCGAGTGCTGTAACAGTGACACAAAGGATGGTGGGCCAGTTTCTGACTGATGATAAAATCAGAGGGGAATTCCTCACTTTGAGCAGATAAATTGCAGTACAGTCCTCGAAACTAGTCCTCAATAACAACAAAATTACACCCTCCTGCTCGCCATCACATGCTGAGATCTCATGACTG